ACACAAGGAAGCATGTATCAAGTACTTTGTGGGTTATTGATGAGCGAAATCTCAATGTGACCACTATTACCGTATGGGTTTTGAGCCCTAGAAGGCTATGGGTTATGGGGTACTGGGGACCTATGGGTTATGGGGTCGAATTCCCCCTATCCCGACTTGGGAAAGCCAAAATCCTATGGGTTTTTAGAGTTTATGGGTTACCAGGGGTATGGGTTAGGAGGGTGTCGACTGTAGATGGGATATCAGTGCGCCGATACATAGTACGTCTCCAACATTGTAAAGCATTGATCCAGAGCACTGTTCGGCGTTTTCTAATACGCTAACGTACAACAAACAGAATGGTGTCGACCACCGAGTCAGCGAGCCCTTTATCCTGATTAATCCTCCGCTGCTTGTTTAGCATTCGCGATGTCCTCTGTCTCCCCCGCCGCAATGGCTGTCAGCGCGGCAGCCACGCCTTTCGGGTCGTCCCTGCCCTCTGCGATATCGGTGCTCGTGACGCGCTCTGGTGGGCTTACGACATCCGCGGCCTCGTCGCACCACTCCATGGAGACGGCGACGTCGATGATGTTCGAACCGATGCCCACCGCGAAGTCCAGCTCCTTGCGTGTCAACGTCAACGTTGTGGCTTGCTGTATCCCTGGTGCACCCCTAGGGTGCTGCATGTGGAACGTAGGGATGAACCAGAACCACCCCATAAACACCTAACGACAGGAAGTGACGGTCGCGGATCGCAGTGGACCCCGATGCGCGGACAATGACGAGCACGACGTGGGGAAACACACGACCCTTCAGCGAAAGATGGGAGGGAAACGCTCATTGGGTCGCTCACCTGTCCCAGATAGAGTTTCACCCGCAGCTCTCTGTGCGCGTCGAGTACGACGCCACCATCAGTCTTGAGCGTTTGAGTGACGTCGTATAGCGACGCGTCTTCCGTCTCGAGGCCCGCGGTCCGACCTTGGTCCGCGTTATTCTCGTCACCTTTGCAGGCGGGTGCGCCTTGCGCGTGAGTCTGCTGGGCGTGGCTGTCTTCCTCTATCTTTGTGCGAATGCTTCTCCACTTATCTCCCGTCAAAGGTCGTAGCAGCAGGGATCCAACTTTCCCGTCCTGTCCAGATCCCATGTGAAAAAAAAGTACATTGAGCCATTGCCCGGTCAGATTAAGCTTACACAGACACGTGTACAAAAGCATGAATGTGCAAGCTCACCTCCTCGGACGTCTCCTTACGGATGTCCTCGTCCTTCAAGGTGCTCATGCGCGCAAAACTCCGCACCATCTTGTTGCTGTCCCACCGGCCGTCCTTGAAGAGGTCCCCAAGCGCGAGCCCATCCATCTCGTCCGCGTGCGGCTTCCGGACGCCCATGGTCCCGCTCTCGTGACGCGTGTGCTTCTCCCAACGTTCCAAGGTGCTCACGAAATCATCGTCGTAACGTGCGAGCGACGCCCACACCTGGCTCGAGCTCCGCGACTGCGCGTCGATCTTCTTCCCCGCGCTGTCCAGCAGCGCGTTCGCCGCGCGAACGAGGTTTGCCTTGAAGCCGCCCAGCTCGCGCATGCGCAGCCGGATTTGCGTGAGCCGCACCTTTGGCGACGGGCGGGCGAGCACGGCGGGGTCCACAGACCAGAAGTCGAGAGGAGCCTGGTGCGCGAGGATCAGCGACCAGTAGTACAGCCAGCGGCGCTGGCTCGGGATGCTGACACCCTGTTTGAGCTTCGCCGATGGGGACGAAGGCCGCTTCATCCGGCGCGACGTGTGCAGGTCCAGGACATGGCTCAGGCTGTTCGTCGTATCCTTCCGGCTCGCGTCTCCTGCGTTAACCTTCGATTTGTCCTCCGATCCTTCATCGGCCAATTCGAGCTTGACTAGATCCTCGCCCTGCTGCGTGGTGGCTCCGATGACCTCTGCGGCGTCCCCGTCGGCAGGTACGGCGTTCATGACCTGCTCGGCACGGCTCTTAGCCTTCTCTATTTCTGTCGCGCTGCGCTCAAGAGATGGTGCGCTTGGGGCGACGTCAAGGGTGAGCAGGTATGCACACGCCATGGTGCCGGACCTTCCCTTGCCAGCTGCATTCGGGGGTTAGCATAAGACGACCACCGACATATCGGAGTGTGGTGTCGTCCTAACCTTTGCAGTGGAGAACAGCTACACGCTCTGGGGAACCATCAAGCCACAGACGGATCTCCCTCGCCACAAGCGGGAGAATTGCGAGCGGAGGAGCACTGAGAGTGTAGAGGAACGTGCATCAGCGCATCTGTCGTGCCACGGGAGGTTAGACAGATGCCTCAAGTCATGACATGATGTGCACATTCACGCCCCTGCGCTACGTAGGGGACATAGCGGGCACAGATTGTGGGGACTCTGTATTACTTAGACACGAGAACTCACTGGTGATCTGGGAAGGGGTATCTGCTCACCCGTCCATCAAAGAAACTTGCAGGATAGGAGTTTTCTTTGATGGGACAGAAGTTGAAGACCCAGAAGTTCTTGCCGTGTCGATGCTCGAGGAACTTCTTCGCGTCTTCTCTGCGATTACGGTAGAGGCCCTCGATACCACTCGCCGGGTATCCCATCACAATGACCTGATCAGTAATGTAAGCAAGATCTGTGTCGAAAGAGAATTAGCTCGGAGAAGCTTAGCACAATGTGCCAAGGATCAGACCACCAACCCAACTCTACGTCTAGTTCGCTATCCTTGTACCGGGCCTTCTTGCCGGACACGAGTCGCCGGATGTAGTCGCCCATTATGGTGCTGAGCTGTGTCGTGCTTGGGAGGTTTGAAGTTGGTTGTAGTCTGCCGCAAACGGTTTGGATGTCTGTCGATACCAGTAGGATGACTCCAGTTTGAAGGTATTAGTCGTGCCTGTTCTTGGCATGAGGTCATCATTGCCTCCACAGGCGCCTCCTTGCCAACGGGGGCACAGCTTTGACTTATGCGGTAACATAGACGCCAGACCGGATGATTTTGACGGCCAACTGAAACGTCGTGTGGCCGTTACACGTTAAGCCACGGTAACTCGTCGGTGCTACAGGTAAGGTGTCATACTATTGCTACATATCTTTTTATACTTTTACTTCATCTCCTCTACTCCAGTGGCTGACTCACGCGCCTCGCGGCGCAAATCGTGGCACAGTTGGATGGTCACAGTGGCTTGCCCGCCCTTACTCTACTATTATGCAGCAGTGCGCGCTCGGTCTCGCTCGGGATACAGGCGCAAAAGAGCATATCACACAACAGAACACCCGACTTCCTGCATACTAAGCTCTGCATTGCGAACCCCTCGGAGACTGACGCCGAGATGCCGTGGATACGTTCATCTGCACCAGTACGTCTCGACTCTCATTCGAAGTCCTGCAAATCCTCCTTTACATCTCGCAGTCTATTGACAGTTCGGACAGCCATGATGAGTTGAAAAGGCACCACAATTTGTTTTCGTTGTTTACGAACCACTTCCCTAGAGTAGGTATCTGAGATGGTACATCGCAGGCGCGCTCGCCGGGAGTACATTCGATGCTTCTATGTTCTCCTCCCAACTAACACTTCAGAAGACTTAGAGATGGTGCGCCTAGCGTTGTTTTGTTTTACCTTGCCTTGATGCCTCAGGTATACACGCTTCGTCTGGTATAAACACCAAAAACATCCCTGGCAATAGTCCACCCATCTGCGCCCACAATATGTATCTCCCTACCTGCATAGTCTCTCGCAAGTCATCGACGCTATCTTGGTGCCGGTTCTTCTGGTGCAGCCGTTGCATTTACCCTTGCGGAGGACGGCGTGCCAGTGCACATTGACAACACAATTTCGGCGCATCACCCGTAGTCGCGCGGAAGTGGCGTTCAGGTAAGCCCGAAGAACTCGAGACTTCTCCCGAGCGGCCGTATCTGAGTACGCTTATACCATACCCTTCCGAGCTTACGAGATCTGGCCTGCATTTCGAGCTGAGCACAGAGCCAACCGAGTATTCGCGCACGACGTGGAGGATTCACAGAAGTGCTTCTGTAAATGTGTGCTGGAACGCATGTTGGTCCCGGTGACGGGATATCCTAGGTATTGCAGTGACGGACAAATATTGCTGTTTGCATGAGATCGGTCTGTCATGTGAACGTCCTCAATTCCATAGCGTCCGCAGCATCATACAGAGTTGTTATGGTCTGCCAAGTAATCCCTCCAACTAGGCCCTCTGGACTCGCAGGATCCCTTTTGCGTGGCTTTGAGGGAAGAGTCTCCTCGCGAAACTGGCGTAGAAGTCGTACTCCGCCTGAAGATCAATAAGTCCGCTGTGTCCGGTCTCCGTTGGGACGGCTGGAAGGTAGTCCCTGTATTCTTCCATTATACCATCGTCGCAGAGGACGCACGTCAACGCCTCCAGCTTCGCCAGCCGCTCCATGAGCCGTTGCTCAAAATGCGTCAAGTCGAAGGAGACCCAAGAGCCCCGGATCAGGAGATCTTCAAGCATCCGCTCGGTTTCGTAGGTATGGGGTCCGTAGCGCTGAAACCGCAAGGTGATGTTGGGGATATGCACATCTGTTGGGATGAGCTCAAGTATCTCGGCCAAAGCGGCTAGTTGCGCCATAAGCACGAGGAACTGCGAGTCGACGTCAAGGGTGCCGGACCCGGAGATGACAAAGATGAGTTCATCAATCGCCGTACGACTGGGGACGCCGAAGTCGAGGTCAAGGCGGTCGTAGAAGTCATCTAGAGAGACAAAATGAACAACGAGAGCGACTCAAGGAATGTGTCCAAAAGCCTACTCACCGTCTGCGATCGTATTGCTCGCCAGAACACCAACGCGTCCTAAAGAGCCAATCAGGTTGTATGATACACGCCTAACGTCAGGTTCGAAGACATTGAGGAATATTCGGAAAGACTGGCGATCTTCCGGATGAGCGTATTTGAGTAGGACTGTGAGTGGGCGGGGTCCCCTTTTGCTCCTGAGAAGACGCCAGAAAGATCCGGTAGTACCGGTATGAAGGATGGCAGACAGAGTGATGGTGGAAAGCTTTGTCAATGAGAGCTGTGTCTCGGACAAGAGCGTATCTTGGTCCCCGGTGATTGCGATGAGACGGACACGCTCGAAAGAGAGTGACCTCAGATTCGGAAGCAGGGATAATAGGGCTGCAATGTCTTCCCAGGAGACATAGTTCATCGAGACAGGATGGTCGCCGATGACCTTGAGCGAGCGGATATATAAGACCAGGTCGGAATTTGAGGACATATATGCAGCAAGGCTCGGAGGCGACAGGTGCGGCCTGTCCGGACGGCATACCACAGTGCGGAGCAAGCGACACCGAGCGATGGAGTGCCATGAATGGGATAGCAGTGCACAAGAACTCAGGGAGAGATGGTCGTCAACAAGATGGTCGGTGATGAGTGTGATGATGTCTTCAGGAACTTCGGCAGGAGCCTTGGCGTGCCCTAACATTGTGTGTGCACTATGCGAGGGAGATCAGCAGCGAAAAATGCAAATTCCGGTCCTGCCGACCTTCTTGTGGACACAGAGACATGCGAAGGGGGGAAAGAAGACCGTGGTACGCACCTCAGTGCATGCCTATAATAGGAGAGCACGGCAAAAGGCGCCAGGGGAAGACCCTAGTCCTGGGTTTACGAGCGCTGTGAGGGGAGGCTGGAGCTAGCTATAGAGCCTTCAGCATCGGAAGTGGCACATAGCAAACGATGCTGGCACATAGCAAACGATGCTGGCACATAGAAAACGATGCTGGCACATAGAAAACGATGAAGAACCTGCAGATCAATACTCTGAGAGTGTGTTATACCTGAAAAAAAATCCGCTACGATCAAGGTACAAGCCTTCGAGTAGGCGGATAGCTCGAGGTCCGGCGTTCGCAAACCCAGGACTACCAGGGTCTAAGCGGAGCGCGCCCTGCATTGTGTCCCCCTTACACAGGCATACGCTGATGGAGTTGCATACGTGCGTTTTGCAATCGACTTCGACTATTCAAGTATGTCAATTGCTGAGCCCAGTGTACATGCGCCGTCTCGGGTGTTTTATGGTCGACATCGGAGTCAGCTGCATTGCACCTGTCTAAACGATAATAAAAAGTAGCCAGATAGTTGACTGAGGCCTTCCAGCCCAATAGTTCTTGACGCGAAGCCGTTGCCTCCTTCCGTCATCACAACCCCACAGCTGCGAATTCGAGCCAGGTCGCCTACGCTGGACTCTGCGGTCGGGATATCCCAACGCAGGGGGGTGTCGTTACCATCACATGCGTAAGCCCTCTGGAGTCCCCCGGAAACATGGATGGCAATTGACAATGGTCGCTACTGTATGTACGTCAATACAACGACGTCGACAGGCGAGGGAGAGCTCACCAAGTGAATAGCGGAATCAGTGATCGAACACGATCGCCGTGAGCTTCTGAACGGGACGCAATAAGATGTACATCTCATCACAATGACTCTGCCACTGCGTGGTACGTTGCCTGGTAAGATGTTGGTATAGGGTTAGAGCTGCATGTACACCAGTAGCCTTGCGCATAGAGTGTACCTAGGCCCTTTGAATTCGCAGAAGTCCCTTTTCATGCGTTTGCGGAAAGAGCCTCTTCACGTTGGCGTATAAGTCGTACTCTGTTTGATGGTCTGCAACACCGCCGTACGTCGTGATCACCAGGTCCGCAGGGGGATAGTCTCCGTATTGCTCGAGCAGACCATCGTCACAGAGTATACACGTCAAAATCTGCAGGGTATCGCACCGTGAGTGTACCCCCGAAGTCCGCCGAGATGAGGCCATTGTCGATCTGTGCCAACACACCTTCAGGAACTTCCGCGGTCTCGTCCGTGCGGGGTCCGTAACGTTGAAATCGTAAGGTGAACCGTCGCAGACGCGCATCAGATTGTAGGTCAAATATGATTTGGGAGCTCACGCCATATACGAACAACAGTAGCACGTGTTGCATAGTGCGATCGGCGACTCCGGACCCGGTAACGAAAATCACGATTTCCTCCATCGAAGTGCATTGCGCCATGGCTGATTCGAAGGAGAGTAATCCGTGTACCGCGGCTACGAAACACAAGGCAATACGCGACTGTGGAAAGAGCTTGAATATGTTTTGCTTACCGTCTGGTTCACCGACTAGCAGGGATGTGCGGGTCGACGCAACCGTTGACCAGGTTTACAGGTATAGTAAACCCGTCGACATGTCGACAAGGTGAACGGTACACTTTCGCACGCTCACGCGCCTGTCGGCGACCCAGCAACTTCGACGTTTTCACCCGTTCGTCTCAGCGCCTAATTCACCCGTCTGCTCGTCCTCCCCGCGGTCTGAGTTGTCGAACTCTCCCCACTCATCCGTTTGACATCAAACATTGCACAACAGTTTCCCAAGCATCTCTGCTATCTGTAAATAATCTCAAATCAGCGCTCCGATCCCTACAACTGTATCACCAACCCACTTTCTTCCACCTACCCTCTCATCTACTCTCGCCGCTCCCCTTTGTCAGTGCAGCCATCAGCAAAAGTGCAGAAATCCCCTGAGGGATCGCACTGATGGCCTGAAACACGAAATCGGGCACGGGCGCTCAATATAGCGGCCCAAATCGCCCAAGCGCGCGATGG